CCCCCCCCCCCCCTAGTCAGAAGAAAGTGAAAAAAATTTACAACAAAACTTCCTATCCACAACACTGGCGACTGGGCACGGGACTGTGGCGCACACACTGGCACTAACACAGGAAGAATTTTGAACACTGGCAAACAGGGATGGGAAGAGGACAGAGTCCCCACCTTGCTCCTTGCGGAACAAGCAAGCAAGGGTCTTGGGAGGATGCCATTTGGGGTGCGGGGGCACACAGCGCGACACGGAGAGGGGGTGGGCAGGATCACCCACACAGGACAGTGGGAGAAAAAATGTCTTGGAAGGACGACAAGCAGAAAGAAAGAAAGAAAACGGACAAACCAAGGGAGGGACGACAAGCAGAAAGAAAGAAAGAAAGAAAACAGACACGCCAAACGAGGGATGGGACGAGGGTCTCATCTCAGTCTAGCGACCTGCCTCCAGCTTGTCGCTGGCAGTCTCTCCTACCACAGGCACACTGACACAGGGGTGGCAGGGGCGGCGGCACGAGTCTCCCACATACTATGCGGGCCTCACTAGAGGTGCGGCCTGTGCGTGTCCTCGACCTTGAGGGGGGAGGGGAAGGGGCGGAGGACCAACTTCATAATTTCCACAAAATTCTTTTGGCAGCCTTGAAACGAACGAGACCTGCGGGGCCGGCGTCCGCCTCTCTCCACGCGCTGCTGGTGCGCAGCGTGCGCCGTTCTGCACTCGGGCACACCACCGCTCCACTCTCCGCTCTCCTCCAGCCGCACAGAGCCCAACCAGACCCCCCGACGGTCGGCGTTGAGCGTCTTGAGCAGTGCCACGAGAGCAGCGTCTCGCCCGTGTGCCACAGCCGCGTGTGAGTTGCGATGGGAGCCAGCTAGCCTCCGACCGGCCTCCCGCGCACACTCGCACTTGGCAGCCTCGAGCCTCACCACGCCCGCTGCACACTGCCTCAGGCACCTTCGCTCCCGCCACCACGCCGCCGCTCCAGTGCTCCTGCCACTGCCGCAGCCCTCCGCGTCGCGTTTCTGCCACCCTTTGACCGAGGCCGTGCGCTAGGCAGGCGTGCAGCTACAGGTGCGCAGCGGCGCGCGGCGCACCACCGCCGCGCTCTCACTCCTCATCCCGGCCAGCTCTCCCCTCTTTCCGCCCCGCAGCTCCCCCGTCACCTCGCGATATCTCCCTCCCTCCCTCCCTCCCTCTCTCGGAGCCTCTCGGCAGGCCTCTGTCCCTCCGCCCCGCCCCTTCCTCCGCCGACCGCGCACCGCGCCATCCCCGCCGCCGTCGGCCTCACACCAGGTCTCATCGGCGCTCTCTGCCGTAGGTTGCGCGCCGCTGCAGGGCGGGCTGCGCGGCTCGTCGCTCGTGCGTGAGGCGCGGCCGCGGCGCTCTCGCTTCTGCTGAGGCGCGCTAGCTGCTCGCCTCGCCGCTCTCCCCCCTCTCTCGCACCTCTCTCCGCACTCCTCGGCGGCAGCCCCGCAGGCTCGGGTCGCTGCAACCTCGAGTCGGGTTGGAGCGGATGGGCGGCGCGGGGGCCAGCGTCGGCGGCGCCGCCCCGCCGCCGCCTCGACTCCTCCTCCTCCTCCGTCGCTGTCTACATCTTTCGACGGCATGCGCCGCCTCGCAGGGCGCGTCCAGAGCAGCTCGGGCGGCGCTGCTGCGGCGGGGGCGGATGGCGCGGTCGCCGCGCCGCTCATCGGTGAGCCGGCGCTCCCGCGCGGCGCTCCGGAGGCCGGCGGCGTGTTTCGCCGCTGCGGAGGGCGTTGTCGTCGCGAGGGGCGGGCCCACGGCGGCGGAGGCGCTGCGCTGACGGCCGCTGACGGCGGCGGTGAGGGCCCAAGCGCCGGCCGAAGAAGCGTTGCCGCGATTGGCGGTCCCCGCCGGTCGGGGCTGGCAGCGCTGCACGGTGCGAGCCGCAACTCCCGCCCCCCGCCACCTCTCGCCCCTCCCCCAGCCCTCTCCCTCGGCCCCGCCTCTCGCCCCGCCCGGGACTCTCCCCACGCCGCCTCTCCGCCACCCGCCAGCCATCCCCGCCCCCGCCACCTCGGCCCTAGCGCACACGCACCCGCACGCGTCCCTGCCGCAGACTGGCGCGGCGACAAGGCGATCGAGGCCGAGCATATGCGCTGGAGGCGACGGCCTCGACTTGCGCGCGATCGGCGCCTCGCTCCTCTCGGCTCGGCAACGATACGCGGCGCGCCAGCGTCGGCCCGCTCAAGGCTGCCCCGCACACCCCCCCCTCTCGCCGTCGCCTCCTCCCTCTTTCCCCCACCTTCCCCTTCGGCCCCCTTCCCCTTTTTCCGGGGGGGGGGGGGCCCCCCCTCCCCCGGGAGCCCTGGGGCCCTTTTCCTTTTGGGGGGGTTACGGTCACGGCCCCGGTCACGGTCACGGTTTCACCGTTTGGCCTCTCCCCCTGCCCCTTTCCCCGAAGGCCGTTGCAGGGCGCTCCCCAGGGGCGCCGCGACGGGAGGGTTTTTGCCCTTCCCCCCCCCCCCCCCCGACCGCTAGGGCCGACGGACGCCCCGCGCCTGCGTCCACCCCCCGCCGCCATGAGCCGAGGCTCATGGCGGCGCCTCGAGAGAGCCGCCGCGCGGCGCGGTCGCCGGTCCGGCGCAGAGGGCCGGGCGCGGGCTCCGGAGCCGTGGGGCCGCCCGTGGGGCGAGGAGGGCGGAGGGGCGCGGCGGGGCCCGCCCAGCGGTGGGAGGGGCCGCGGCAGGGGCGTCCCGGTCCCGTGCACCGAGGCGGGGCGGCGGGGTGTGGTGCGGCGAGGTCGGTGTGCCGTCCGCCCCGGTCCCGGAGCCCGTCTCCCGGCTCCGCGGGGCCCAAGTCGATTCGTTTCGGGGGTGTTGGCTTTGTTTGCAGTCGGTGTGCGCGTTTCCCAGCTAAAACGTCGCATTCGGTTCGCATTTGCATCCCCAGTCCCATTCCATTCGGCTTCGGGGCGAATCGGTATGACTGGGGCCGCAGTTTCCCCAGTGTGTCCGCGCCTCGGCTCGTAATGGTCTCACCCAATCAAAGCGGCGCCCTCCGGCGTACCACTTAGAGGAATACGCATTTCTGCGGCGAATACAAACGCGAGTACGCGCACCGGCGCGGACACACTGGGGCTTGTCTGGCGGTGCTGCCCGCGCGGTCGGTACCGCCCTCTCGGCCACCCAAGCAGGTGGATAGGTGAGGAGACGCGCAGAACGGCGGCCGCGAGGCAGCCGGCGCGGTGCTCCCTCGGCGCGGTTCGCCGGAGCAGACTTTTGCTTACGGTTTGAGCCGCGGCCCGGTAGGTTGACTGAGCGGCTGGTGCGTGTGAGGCGGTGCTGGGCGGGGTTGGGTCGCCACTGCGCGATCCGGCCCCAGTCTCGGTTACGTAGACGCCTAGTCAGCACGTGCCGCCGCGGGGACTCACCCTCCCCCGACGCAAAAGCTCCCTCGCTGTGCCCCTCCAGACCGGATGGGGCCGCCTGGGCAGCGGCTGTGTGTGAGAAGCAGATGGTTTCCCGATGGGCAGACGCCTCGTGCGCCTCACCCCGCAGCGCGGCTGGCTCGCAGCTCGGAGGTCTCCTCTGGGCGCGGGTCGGCTGGCTGCACTGTCGGTGGCGGTGGCGCCTCGACTGGCCCCGCGTAACAAGGCCCTGGCAGGCTCAGCGGTGCAGCCCTCCCCTTACGGAGCGGCTCCCGCCCTGCTGTGGAGCTGCGGCGTGTCGGTTGTGATGCGCTTCTAGCCACCGAGCGGTCGTGCGAATCCTTGAGTGGAGGCGCGATGCGCGGCGCCCTGCGAGGCCGCCCGTACTGGGCCGGCCCGCGGCTCGGCGTTGCGCGAGGGCTGCGGCTCTGACTAGAGCCGCGCTCCGTAACATGATTACGACACGTGTCCTTGGCTTTGTTGGCCTTGGAGTGAGCACTGTCGGTCAGACTCTGGGCGGCCGCGCGCGGTGGTCTCTTGTCCCCTCCGGAGACGGAGGGCTCTGACTCGGACCGCGCGCGCTGGCCTGCCCCTGTCTGGTCCGGGACTTCCGTTGTGGGAGGGGGTCTGGTCTCCGACTGGGCTCCCTCCCCGCGGGTTGTCTGCGGGCTACCTGGTTGATCCTGCCAGTAGTCATATGCTTGTCTCAAAGATTAAGCCATGCATGTCTAAGTATAAGCTAGGGTGCCCACAGGACCCAAAAGAAAATAGCTTTTCGACTCAAAAAGGGACGCACGAGGCAAATCTGATGTTGGCCAGTTCCAATAGGAGCGAGGCCTCTTCCGTTGGGGGACCGAGTACATAGGAAACGAGGGTTTCCCATTGTGTCCCCTTCGCGTGCGAGCGTGACACTGCACTTGGCGCCGAGCGCCCGCGGCTCAGACCTTGTGCAGGCCACCCCTCGGTGACCACGCCGGTCCGGACCGATGGCGCTCGGTGTGGAGCAAGCAAGACCCCCCCCCCCCCCCATCGGGGCGCGCTCGCCATTCCAACGGGCGCCAGGAGCACCAAGAGGACTCCTCATGGCTGTGGTCAAGTGGGCTTCGACCGGCCTCGGCTGGGGGGGCGGGTTGTCCCGGTTGCGGACGCCTTCTGCAGCCCCCTGGGATGGGGACAGCACCCCAAAACTGCCCCTCGGCGGCATACAGCACTGCCAGCCAGCCTCTTCCTCCTCCTCAAGGGCTGTACTATAGGCCATATTGCGCCGCCTCCTACTAGCAGCCGGGCGGGCGCGCGCCGCGGGCGCCTCGGCGCGCGCACGGCTCGCAAAGTCCAACGAGTACTGCCGCCCGGCCGCCTCAAGGCTGCCGGGCGGCAGTACTCGCCTCGCAAGGCGCGCACCGGCTGCTCTGGCTGCTGCGCCGGCGGCCGCTGCGCTGGCCGCTGCTGCGCCGGCTGGCGGGCGGCACGGCCGCCGGCGGCCGCTGCACCCGCGCCTTCCCTCGCGGGCGCCGTCACGCCGCGCGCGCCCAACCCTGCTGGTACACGGCACGCGCGCGTCACACAGCCGCGGAGAATAGGCGGTGCAGCGCGCGAAGCGCGCGCGATCTCGTACTTTTAAGGCTGGATCCGGCCATTCCAAGGGTATACCTTTGAGAATCCCCAGCGTCCCACCCTCCTAGTCACACTCTCAATTTCTCGACTGGCCAACACGAAGTGCTGCGATCGGGGGTGGCCCATTTCTTTTTTCCTTTCTTTTTTTGGGCCCTGTGGGCACCCTATATAAGCGACTATACTGTGAAACTGCGAATGGCTCATTAAATCAGTTATGGTTTATTTGATGGTACCTTGCTACTTGGATAACCGTAGTAATTCTAGAGCTAATACATGCAGGAGTTCCCGACTCACGGAGGGATGTATTTATTAGATAAGAAACCAAACCGGTCTCCGGTTGCGTGCTGAGTCATAATAACTGCTCGAATCGCACGGCTCTACGCCGGCGATGGTTCATTCAAATTTCTGCCCTATCAGCTTTCGATGGTAGGATAGAGGCCTACCATGTTTTTCTACGGTAATTTGGTTCAGTACGAGAGGAACCACCAATTCGCATCATCGGTATAGCCGCCGCCGGAAACGGCGATGCGGCGAAGCTGCCATGCGCCGGATTATAACTGAACGCCTCTAAGTTAGAATCCATGCCGGAAGGAAAGCCACCTACCGGCCCGGGGACGCCACGAGCAACGGTAGCACTGCCTGAGCCGCGAGCGACCACAATTCACGGACCCGGGCCGACGAATCCCTTGCAGACGACTTGAATAAGGAACGGGGTATTGTACGCGGCAGAGTGGCCTTGTTGCCACGATCCGCTGAGATTCAGCCTTGGTTCTGACGATTTGTTGCGCGCGCGCAACAACCCTCAGGGCCTCTATCGTTCCTCAGTCGCTCTCTCGGCGCTCTCCCCCTCTCGCCTCTCCTCCGAGCCTCACTCGCTCGGGGCGGAGCCGAGGGGGCGAGAGCGCGATTTCTGCCCAAGGCAGCGCGCAGGCCACTGCGCAAACACACCCGGCTCTCCCCGAGCCGCCACTGGGCGCTCCCGCGGTCCCCTCCGGGCTGAATGCGGCCTCCGGAGCGGGCGGCGCGAGCGTCTGAGTCTACTCAGAGCCTTCCACGCTCTTCTTTGCGTTCCAAAGCACACACTGCGCTCCTCTGTGGCATCGCCCGGCCAACTCGCTTGCCACTGTCATTGCCCCCGCCGCCCTCTCACTGTGGCCGCCCGTACCGTTCGTTACCTCCACCGCCCTCGCCACCACCCTCGCCACCGCCCTCGCCACCGCCCCCACGCCGCCGCTACCATTTGCCCGCTGCAGCTGCAATCCCCACCGAAGGCGGACGCCGGTGCCGCCCTCGACGGTGGCGGCGAGGGCGGCGGTGAGGGCGGCGGTGAGGGCGGGGGCTAGCGTCGGAGGGCGGGCTCGACGGGTTGCGGCGGGGAGGGGGCGGTGAGGGCGCAGGCTTCTCCGCCTTCCACCAGGCCATCTAATCCCCCCGACTGTTGGCCTATCTCTTCGCCTAACGCCTGCCTAACATCCTCTTTCACCTCGCCTCACCGACCACGGGTGCGTTCTTCCATCGATAATCCACGCACCTATCTGGAAAGCACTCTCGTCTCGCACCTTCTCAACTGCTTTGATTGGCACTTGCCCATCCGCCTCAACACATGCTGTTCGCCTCGAC